GTTTATATTGCAGTGCCTACAGGGGCCTGGTGAACTGATACTGGATCTCCAGTCATCTCCAGTAGGGGTAAACCACATCATGTGATATTGGGAGTTGACTTGACCTTGGTAAAGCTCCGTCTGTGTATTAGAGATAGCAGTGTCTATATTTGAAAGAGGCTAATGAAGTCGGGTTCCCACTGGAAACCAAGCAGGGGAAATTAATCCATAAGTACATTAGGTAAGGTAAAAAAGCCTTCAATTTTGTCACTCATTGGATAATCCCTTCAACATAAACTTCAAAAGAACCATTTAGTAAAGGAATATTATTTGCCATCCTGTCCTAGCGGGGGAAAAAATCGAATTTTTCTCACACTATGTGACTAAAATTGCTATTCCAGCAATGAAATACAAGGAAATATGAATACCAGTTGGCCAAGATTCTTATAGATGATTTACTTGTTATTTTATGTAATAAAATGTGATTCCCTAAGGTATGCAAAGGTTTATGACTCCTGGGAAATGAGGTTAATTTACAAATGGCAGTGATATTTTATCTATGCCATTTCATTATACACATGTATTTAAACACCCTCAGGGGACTCCAGTAGCATGAAAAAGAATAGATTGGTAGGAGGTGAAAATACCTGCATAGAACCAGGGGTGGGGTGGGTTTCAAACTCCATACCTGAAATGGCCCCCAAAGTGTCACGTTCCTTTAACTGAAAATCCCCACCTTAGTAAATAGGACAGCCAGGCCAGGTCTTCCACCAGATATTATAACAGATCCTACTTTGCTGCGTGGTCATGATTTACTTTTCAAAGTCACACGATGCACGTGAGTGTCTTCAGTGAAAGAATAGTACAGACTTATAGAACATTCACTATGTGGCCTCTGTCCACATACGTGCACAAAATGACAGCAGCAGGTAGTGCCGATGCGTACCAGGGCTAAGGGGGCTCAGAACATAGACAGGGAGAGGCAAAGTTGCAAAACGCATTGCACTAGAAGTGCTTGCTGCAATGCTGTTTTGGTTGGGTCTCTTCAAGTTGAATTCAACGTCATAAGGATCTCATGTTACAATACAGAACTTCTCCAAAGGGTTCCCAAGACTTTCTTCTATGGAGAAACTGGGTGGGTTCAAATCTTCACCATTTCCCTGCAAGGGACCCTTACACGCTGAACCAACCCACTGTCGTTGAGTCTCTTCTCACTCACAAAACGCACCTGCATTACATTGACTTCTGAGTTAGCATTTCTGAAGCCTTCTCTTTCTCCCAGGGAGCAGCTGGTAGATTTGAACCATCATCCTTGGGGCTAGCAGTCCAACATTTATCCAATGACAGCACCTGGGTTCTTGATAGTGACCCTACGCAATACAGAGTAGACAGGCTTCTCCGGTTCCTGGTACTATAAATCTATACGAAAGCAGACAGATTCATCTTACACTCAGGGTGCTGGGTGATGGATTGGAACCCCAACCTTGCCTTTAGCAACACAATACTTAGCCCTCCACCTCACCAAGGTGCCTTCATGCTGAAAGAGAATCTCTCACTACCATTGAGCCAATGCTGACTCACAGTGACCCGATAGGTCAGGGTAGAACTGCCCCTGTGAGTTGAAAGTCCCCTCTTTCTCCCACCAAGGGGCTGGGATTAGATATCATGTAAGTGTAGCCTCATGATGCTCAAAACAGACACTTAAAAACTAACAACTAATATAAAATTTGGGGACAAGAGCTAAATTTTTCCCCCCTCTATTTAAGACCCCCTCCTTCTTTTATCAAATATATCTGAAATCCAATGAATTCTGTACTTATTAGAAGAAAGGATTTCTCTCAATCTCCAGATTGCCAACTCCAGAGATTCCTATCAATGGGAAAGGCAGCTCAACTGGGCTTCTGAAACAGAAAGTGAGATTTGAACAATATGGTTCTGAAAGTTAAAACAAAGTCTTAGACGATGGGGATAAAATTGCATGCACATAGGGAAATTGGAGAGATGAGCTATGCTGAAAACAGGCGCAATTGCAGTCAGTGAAAACAAGTGACTCAACCTTAGAATCGGGAGAATGATTAAAAATGAAGGAAGGACTATTAGGGAGGTAACGAGTGAGGGAGAGAGGGAAGAAGAGCAAAAATGGAAGAGGGAAACAAAGAGGGAGCCGGGGGAGGGAGGGAGGGTGGGGAATGGAAGAAAGGAGGGAAAGAGCAGAGAAAAAGAAACAGGAGAAGAAAAATAGGAAAATAGAAAATTCAGGAAAAGTGAGTTTTAGGAGAGAAGTTTCCTGTGGATCAAAACTGAAATGAATCACCCCAAATCATCATGCCCCTCGGTCCAGTTTTCTTTCCCTAGAATCTCCCTCCTAGAGGTGGTCAAAGCTGTGCGGGAGTAAGAATTATCCTTCCGTGTCTGTCTGTCCTTCATTTCCCAGGAGCGTCTCTGCCTCAACTCTTCTAATCACTGGTAATTAACTGACACCAGAAATGTTTAGTGTATCAACACAAACAATGGATAACTACTAGCTGAAAGGCTGTGGGTTTGAACCTCCCCATCAGCACTTTGTTTGTTTGATTGTTTTTGATCATTTTATTAGGGGCTCATACAACTCTTATCACAATCCATACATGCATCAATTGTGTAAAGCACATGTGTACATTCATTGCCCTCATCATTCTCAAAATATTTGCTCTCCACTTAAGCTCCTGGAATCAGGTCCTCATTTTTTCCCCTCCCTCCCTGCTCCCCCCTCCCTCATGAACCCCTGATAATTTATAAATTATTATTTTGTCATATCTTGCACTGTCCGACATCCCCCTTCACCCACTTTTCTGTTGTCCATTCCCCAGGGAGGAGGTCACATGTAGACCCTTGTAATCGGCTCCCCCTTTCCAACCCACTCTCCCTCTACACTCCCGGTATCACCACTCTCACCACTGGTCCTGAAGGGATCATCTGCCCTGGATCCCCTGTATTTCCAGTTCCTGTGTGTGCCAGTGTACATCCTCTGGTCTAGCCAGACTTGCAAGGTAGAATTCAGATCATGATGGGAGGGGAGGGGAATCATTTAGGAACTGGAGGAACATCGTATGTTTCATCATTCCCCATCAGCACTTTAAAAGAAAGACTGGATGAGCTGCTTCCTGAGGAGGACAAACAAGGACATCCTATGTGACACACAGAGTGGGGTGGGGTGGGGCATTGACTCAACAGCATCAGGTGTTCGTTTTGAGCAAAATAAAGGGGGAATCTACCTGCTCTTCCGTGCCAGCAGAGGTGAGAGTCTAACACTTTGTCTTTCTCCCTGTTGCAGAGTCTAAAGTAAGCTGCAAGTTAGGCCGATCTGCATCCACATCAGGTGTGCCTCCTCCATCAGTCACTCCTCTCAGGCAAGCCAGCGACCTGCAACAGAGCCAGGTACCATCATCGTTAGCCAATCGTGATTGACTGCCTGTGCTGCAACATGCCAAACGCCCCCCACCTCTGTCTGTCCTGTGTCGCTGTAGACAACGTGTGCATCTGCTTGCCTCTCTCCGTGTGGTGTGTGGGGGCGGGCAGTGGGAGGAGGCCTGCGGTCTGTGTTGTCATTCAGAAGGGAAAGTTGATCTTGCCTGTGGTGGGTGAAAAACTCTTTCTGTTTGTGACCGAACCGTTCTGTCTCTGGTTTCCATCATTCTGTAATATGAATGTAGTAAACTTGTACTCTCTGTATTGGCTTAGTGGTTATTTTTTGAAAGCTCTTTCTCTCTTCCATGTTTTGTGTACTTTTATACTGTCTCCGAAAATTTATCAATCTCTGATAAATTTATCTGCTTTGTCTTATGTAGATTTCTTTCTCAATGTTTTGTCTGCGATATTTGCCCACATGTTGTCAATGAACTTGTACATAGTCCTTAGCTCTTATCCAAATATACTGTAATCTCTGTGGCAATTTTACTTTCATTTTTAGTTAGCTTGGAGCATGATTGTAAGACACTGTGAATATCGATATCCTTCTGACCATTCATATACCAATTCCTTGGGATTGAACGTGGCAGCTAGTCTCTCTTGTTTCTTAGGCCATAGAGACAAACTGACCCACTGGATACTATAGGATCCTTACCCCAATTTGTAGATTATTAAGGTGACCTGGAATAAATGATGTCGTTTCTCTCTGATGCAAACATTATCAGGAATGTTTTCCAAAAGAGAGTAGAAGTGTCTTTGCATGGTCAATGAGGTCTCCAGGATCCCCTGGAGAAAAGAGGCAAGAAATAAAGACACTGAATATAATGTCATTTATCATGTCATTATAATGTCACTCAGTCCTTTACAGTACACTCTGTTGAGTGCACGGTTGTGGATGGAGACTCTCGTAAGGGGGAACATTTCAGTACACATAGGCTCTCCAGTGGTAACTCACCCAACAGGAACTCAGTACATTGATTCCATCTCAAAAGCTGAATTTTCGTCACCGGTAAGTGCTGTGAGTATTCCATAGGATGATCCCGGAGCGGTTTCTCCCTGCTCCCCACTTCCTCTCCATCCATGAAACACTTGTGATGTAGTAAATGATAAAATTCAGACTGATCCCTCCATGGGAACTACCCATTACTGATCGCAGATTACATATCCATTGGTTATTTAAAATGTCAGGCTATTTTGAAAACATTAATGAGACAGCATAATTAACACTGTTTTCCCTAATGGGAGATTGTGGTAGTTGGTTGTGACTTAAGTGTGTGCCGGGTTTGATTAATGCACATGTAAAGTTTCTACAAACAAGAGATAAGAGGGTGCTCCCAAGAGCATCTCAAGTGTTACTGAGAATTTCTCGTGCCTTTGTTTAAAATGGTAAAGGATTGTATAGCCAACTCTAGCTTACTCAAACACATTCTGAATATAAAAGAAGAGAGAATAAATCAATGAGTTAATTAACCCATAATAACAATTAATCTCACGAAGATAAACTGCTACCTTAAAAATACTAAATTTACCAATATCTAAACTTTAAATAGACATTTGATTGCAAAATGCAGAGACTTTCAGCACCTTGGTAGAGAATTGCCTTAACATAATCAATTTCCCAAGTACACGATCAGTGGTCTTAGATTTTCCACGGTTTCTCCGGAGGGTCTGATGTTCTTTCTTGTTCCTCTGATTATCCTCATTGCTGCTTCAGCTTAAGTCCCTTCAACTTCCAGTGAAATCAGGTGCCCACACAGCACCCTTTCGGAACCACGCTGCAGTCTTTGTGCCTTTATGGTATCAAATCATTGCTCATCTGATGGGATGCCCTGAACTCTTTGAAACACAGCAACGCTGGAAGCCTCCCCACATCACAGGCATGCTGTTGGTTCCTGACCCACAGGCTGACCTCTAACCTACAAGCCATACTGTAGGTGGTTGTCAGAGCTACAGCATAGAAGGGCGGTCTGTGAACGTCTCGTCTGTGGAATTGGACCCATGGTCGATTTAACGGTTCCTGTATTCTAGAGCTCACGTGAAATGTGAAAGCCATAGTGTGCCAGAATCTTCTGCATGTTCCCATTTAGCATTCAACTAGTCAGTGAATCGAATGATCCAGAAGATTCCCTTCTCATCTAATTTCCATCTCCTCATCATAGACCTGACTGAGATGTCCTCTTTAGTTACAACCAGGGAGGCACTGTAACCCACGGTGATGGTGACAGACATTTGGACACATTGAATCTAAGAATGAATATGCCAGCTGGTAGGCTGTGGAACCAGTCATACCCAACAAACTCAAACCAACAAGCAAGCATCTTGGCCAGGTTTTTAAATACCAGGATCCCCAATGATTATCCAATTCCAGAATTCTCCACAGCCCAGTTATACATTTCAAAAGAGGCCCTGGTGGTTGGTTCAATGGTGAAGCAGTCAACTGTTGAGCAAGAAGTCAGGGATGGTTTGAACCCACAAGCACCTCCATGGGAATAAAGACCTGGATATCGGGTCCCATAGAACTCACATAGCAGTAGAGATACGACTTGTTTGGGTGTGGCTATGGGACTGTGGCCTAGGTGCTAGGCTAACAATTTCAAAGTCAACTGTTCAAAACCACCAGCTTTTCCTCAGGAGGAAAATAAAGGACGCTGACTATTCCCATAAAGACTACAGTCTTAGGAACCCAATATCAGCTGAAAACCTGTTTGTCAGAGTCCACTTGTTTTGTTTGAAGGGGTTCATGTAACGGAATTGTCTTCCGCGTGGGAGAACAGGGTTTGATCTTGGCTTATGCACCTGGTATATAGTCTGTCCATCTTCTGTCAGGGAAGGCCTGCATGCTTCTGTGATAATGACCAGTGTTCAGTGGAGCTGCAGACTAAGACAGATCTGACAACCTATTTCCAAAAATCTTCCAACAAAAACCTATTGGTTTACAAAGGTCCAGTCCCCTCCTGATCCCGGGAGGGACATGGGACTGGGCTACATTGTTTCATTGTGCATGAGGTCACCAGGAGTTGGGGCTACTCAAGGTAGCTAACTACAATTGAATGCTCTAGTTCAGTCTCATGCTCTGTAGATGTAGGCATATGTATTCCTGAGGTTTCATCTGATCAGTTGGATCCATTTTCAAGTGCTTGGCCAGCTAGAAGCCACGTTTTGGTGGTGGGAGAGAGAAAACAAAGCATTCTAAGCGGCGGAGTAGATCTGTGACTTGGGAACCTGTCTTGAAATGATGAAGGGGTTCCCATTGGTAACTCTCCTAATCCTGTGTGGAGCAAGTGCCTCTCAGAGACCTTGGGAGAGTCTATCAGACCAGAGGCGAGAGAATGGTCTACGTCCTATGTGGATCTTTACAAAGTTGACTTGTTGAACACGTATGATAACATCAAATGGCAGAGCATAGAGCCAAGTAGCAAAACCTTCACCGATAACTTTCCACCACCCCAGAGCTTCCCACAGGACGCACACAGTCATTTACAGAGCAGTCCTACCTTTTGCTTCAGTCTGCGTACAAGTTAGCCCTGACATTACAGTTCCCAAAATACAGAAGCCCACTTGGGTGACTCAGAACGCCCCGTACAGTTTACCACATTATGGAAGCATCTTATTGGAGGGGAATTGTTTGTCTGTGCGAACTTTAAATTGTAAAATAAAGTGTCCTGCTCACAATGACGATCTTACAAATACATGATGGTTGTTATCATAATGATGTTTCCCAAAGCAAATACATCTGGCCAGATGAAATGCTGAATAAATGCTTACTGCAAACAGCCATGTCAGTGGTACCTTGATCTATTGCCACACTTTATGAAAGCAGTGGTATTGAAAGAATACACGTGGATTTAAAACAAAACAAAAAGCCATGATCTGATGTGTTCTCTATAATCCTTTCTATGGGTTTCAAACATGTTTTAAAAGGCTTTATTTTCTTATGGGGCACACTTTCAACCTTAATTAATGTTATATTTGAAAACAGAGAAAAGATATATGATCTTCAAATAGCTGTTGGATTGAGGAGCCTGTGAAAAGAAATGTTGGACAATTTGATGTTCATACAAAGAACTCAAATGGCAGAAGTTCAGTTGCCATCAACGACTGTATAGGCTGGGGCATTTTGACACACTATTATTAAGCTTTTGTGTTTGCTAACTTTGGATATATTTCAACTTGAAGCCTCATCTGGGGTCACCTCCTAAAGCTCGGGAGCCTTTGTGACGAGCCTCTTAGTAACTCCATTATTGAGTAGAATGAATCAAAGCCACAGGCACCTCTTGCTCCTCGCCAACCTAATCCTCACTCCACACACAATAGTCCGGCCTTTTTTCCCCATTGGAGTAGCCCGGAGACTGTCATTAACAAGAGAAAATCCTCTTGGAAGTCGTGATCTGAGTCAAGTGGAATCTGAGACTTGTCTTATTAGGCCTGATACTTGTGCCTGCCTCACTCCTTAGAGGTCAGTGTCTGGTGGACGGGCCCATCAGGGGGTACTACTTATGGGCATATTCAAGAATGCTTTAACTCACAGAAGGGCCATAACCTTATTACAGGCTCTTGGAAAACTTGACAAAATGGTAAAATTGGTATTATGGGAATCATGTGTCATTTGCGAATATTGTTACCCCCCATGTGCTATTTGTGTGCTACGCTCTGTGTATGCAGAGAGCTCCAGGTGTGTGTGTGTGTGTGTGTGTGTGTGTGTGTGTGTGTTCTAGAATTCTGCCCCCTGGGGAAATCCTATAACCACCCACTGCAAAGGAGGAAGATAAGAGGAAACTGTTGGCTTTCCCCAAGTTTTTAAACTTATCAAAGTTCAGAAGCCATGGTAACTGTTCAACAAAACAAGAAGCCCGAGCTTTTGCTGAAACGACAATTGTCTTAGGATGCCAGCTCACCAGTTAGGTGCTGTATGAACCCGAATACCTTGTTCAACTTCTCTGAGTCTGTTTTCTTCTCTGAAAAACTGGGGC